CAGAAGCATTACAAATGAAACATTTTCATTATTATTTCAGCAATATAAATTTATCCACTTTGCACAGTTATTTACTTGGTCAATATGTTGCCTGAATGCTGTATTTACAAATAAAAGGAGTATTAAGGAAAGCTAAATTTTCCAATAAGGAAAAGGAAGAACGCTGAGGACACTGCTGTTAACTGAGCATCTAGCAGGAGTCAAATGCATAATTTGTACACATTGTCACCGAAAAAATATGTACGAAATTACAAGAATACAAATGAACTTCAAAAATGTCATGGAAAAATAAAAATAATGAATTAAAAAATAATGGATTTTCACATATTTTAAAAGCCCTGTCATATAGAGAGGAAAGGATACATTTCATAGCAAACAGAACTAATGGTAAAATATATGTGCTGCCATTTTTATAATTACAATCTGAAAATTCTTGATTACACTATGCAATTATACCATTACTATCTAGAATTATACAATTACTATGTAGAATTATGCCACGACAACTTAAAGGCAAATTAAAAAGAGAATAACTTATTGTAAGTATCAAGAGAATAGATATCATTTAAAGAGAATAAATATCATTTAAAACTGACATTTTAGAAGTAGTTTATGAATTTTAAAATCTTTTTTTTTTTTTGGTCCTGCATGAAGAATTCAGAAACTTTATATTTTTAAGAAAAAGACTTTATAAAATAAAAAATCTAAGCATGATAACAAATGTATAGTTAGGCAAAGCTTATTTCTAATCATACTCAAACCAATCCATGCCTTTTTTCTTATGTCATAACTTTCCTGATATCAGAAGAGGAAAGTAAAAGGAAATAGAGGAAGAACTAGGAGGCAAAAGACATTTATAGAGGTCTAATAAGGAATGTACATATGTAAATATATTTATATATTATGATAGGGAAATAGATCTATCTACATATATTTATATGTTAAGTATTAAGGTAGCTGACAGACATTGGGTATCTACTCAAGTACTCTCTCAACACAAGAACATTTTGTTCTAATAACCTGCCATTCTGTGATGCTCACCATCTGGACACGATCTCTGAAGACAAAATGGGTGCATAAGCAAATGGGATGAAGAAGACTGATGGTGCCTGATTATCAAAAGATATAGCATCGGGGGTCTTAACAGCTTGAAGATAATCAAGCAGACATCTAGCTGAGAAGCAACAAGACCACATGGAAGAAGCACACTGGCCTGTGTGATCATAAGTTGTTGATGGGATCAGGTGTCAGGTATCAAAGACCCAGAACAAAAAATTATAACTATGTGAATGAGGGGGAGGGCAGAGTGGAGACCCAAAAGCCCATTTGCAGACAATTGGACATCCCCTTACAGAAGGATCACAAGGAAGAAATAAGTCAGTCAGGGTGCAGTATAGAACTGATGAAACATACAACTTTCCTCTAGTTCTTTAATGCTTCCTCCCCCTGAGAGGACATACACTGGTACAGATAAGAGCTCGCAACACAGGGAAACCAGGACAGATAAACCCTGCAAGAACAATTATGAGAGTAGCGATACAAGGAAGGTAAGGGGAGGGTGGGAGAAAAACGGGGAACTGATCACAATAATCTACATATAACTCCCTCCCACGGGGATGAACAACAGAAATGTGGTTGAAGCAGTCAGTGTAAGACATGAAAAAAATAATAACAAGGGTCATGAGGGAGAGAGAGTGGGGGAAGGGGGAAATGAGCTGATACCAAGGGTTCAGGTAGAAAGAAAATGTTTTGAAAATAATGATGGCAACATATGTACAAATGTGCTTGACACAATGGATGTATTGTGATATAAACTGTAAGAGCTCCCAATGAAATTATTAAAACGAAAGAAAGAAAGCAGTATGAAAATATTTACAATTGTATTTTCTTACTCTTATTTTTCTATAAAAGCATATATGGTAATAACAGTAATTTAAAGGAATTAGCAAATAACCACATCTATGAAAAGTCTCCGCTTAGGTATCAGGATAAATTAGCAAATAACCACATCTATGAAAAGTCTCCGCTTAGGTATCAGGATAAATTTACTTTATTTTCAATAAGGTCT